CATTAGCCTCTCTGTTGGATTGAATTAAATCTCTACTAGCCCGAATATTCGATTAGTAACTCTCCACGACTGTCCTGTCATCCGCGTACCGTAAATTTCTCAACAAACATAAGTTCTAAACAAAATCCCATAGAAGAGAGATCCATCAGATTTCCTAGCACGGCATCTAGGCCACAAGTCGCGTCTACTGACTAGACAGTCAACGACCGTCTCAGTTGAGAGTCGAGGAACTTGCTTTTGTGGGCAAGCAGATGAAGCATGCTTTAAACAGCACGATTTAAAAGCATCTAGATTAGAAGATGCAGTTGGAAAAGTTTTCGTAGAAGTTCCTGATAAACTGACCGGTAATCTATTTCTTCGATTGATGACGAAACGGGCATCAATAAGAGATTGGGTTGCCTGCTTGAGGTTTTACATTTAAATTCCTTTTCTTTTACACCAGTACAGTCCAACCATAATTTTACTATGTTTTTATGGACAGACTGGACAGACGAATAGATATGACCATCTATAAATTAAAACCATGTCAAGTAATTTTTCAACCTTGTATAAAATCAATATTATCAATATGGGTGTTACTTAATGGTTGTCTATGACATTAGTCCGACACACTGATAGACAACACCTAAGTATATCGATAATGGACGCTTTAGTGTTCGGAAACATCGAGAAGTTTTAATGAAATTGAACGAGCCAGGAGTTATTAAATGGTTTCATAAATCCATTCAATCAAAATTTTTGGAATGTATTTACGGTACAATGAAGTTACATTTTACTGTTTTAATTTAATTATGTGTCACGTTAATCGAAAACACACAGGCATAGTTCTTAAGCTTTGAAAAAGTAAGTTTGTAATACTACGAGTAGGTTTCAATTATTACTTTTTTATAGTTCCCATAATTTTGTTTTTTATGTGAAAAGTTGCCAAACGAGCAGACGGTTTCCCTGATGGTAAGTGAATACCGCCGCCCATGGACATCCGCCACACCCGAGGGTTACAGATGCGTTGACAACCTTTTGAAAATTGGGCTCCGGCTACCTCAGCCACCAGACGAAACGCGAAAGTATTTGTCATACTTCCACTTCACGCTGGTCTTCTGTGAGGTCGTAGTCTTCCGGACGGGCCTGCCCATTCGTGCAACAGCCCATTAGGCTGCTGCGTGGCCCTACCACCGTAAATTACACATGCTAATACCAATTTATGAGAAGGTTAAATTGGTGTCCTTGTTTGTGTCTATATACAATCTAAACATGAATAGAATTGATGTTTTATTAAAGACTAAATAGATCATAACCTATATTACTAATGTCACATATTTGATAGAAATAGGAGTATCTTAGTAAAACATTTAGTTCTATCAAATAGTTGTCGATCGAGACGAGTAAAAATGTTTCGTCTTGACCCGAAACGAGGTGGTTAGAGGGGGGCAAATTAATTCGTCTGCGTCCAATTTTCACTAGAGCACGTTCTGATCAACTCGACTATAAGCCTGTGATATATTAGTCGGCTGCGGAGGATTCCGCACATAAATTAATGTCAAAATAGTTACGTTGCGTTCGTGATTATTGGCAGAGTGTAAAATTGATTTTATATGGCAACTGAAATATAACAAGAATACGCGCATGGGAAAACGACAGTGCGCTCGGCTTGGGCAACGCGAGGCACACGGCACCCCGCTCCCCTCCCCCCGCGCAGTGACGTCACCCCCTGCACACCGGCCCCCAGTATCGATCGAGCCTCGTCCCTCCCCCTTGCGAGGAGGGCACGCCGGGCCCGCAGACTATTCTAGCGGCGTTGCTAGGTATTTTGATTCTTAAACGTCTTTCGTATTACACTGCCGCTTCATGGACATATCACCGTGTATTCTTCCATCTGTGGATATCACGCGTGCTTTAAATCAATCGTACTTATTACTAAGTAACGGATCAAGTTATCTAGAAGGTTCATTATTTAAAGTAATGTTAGTAAATATAATATACTAAAAAGGGCCTGAAAATTGGGTGCCCATTTAAAAGAACCTAAGAAAACTAACATAAAATGAATGAATGAATATACTTTATTGCACACCAAAAATAAAACAAACAAAAATTAAAACTTAATGTAGAATTGATGGGTACAATGGGTGGCCTTATGACTAAGAACAATTTCTTCCAGGCAACCTTTATAAAAGTATCACACAAGAATACAAGAATAGAAAACTGAATGCAACATAATGAACAACATAATTATATCTTCTTTCTCCAGCCCTCATCCCGCCCAGATGGGGTCACAACATGTCAATCACGTTGTAAATGGTATTGGCTAGGTCACATATATCTTTATCTCTAGTGCACATAAATAATTGTGTGTTAATCAAACTTACAATCCCTGGCAACGAAGTCAGTATAGCTTAGCAATGCGTTAGTGTCAAAGTTACAGGTGAGGCTGGCCCACCGATTACATGTCGCTCAGCGAGCTATGGAAAGATCTATGCTCGGTATTTCGCTAAGGGATAAAATCCGAAACGAAATTGTCCGGCAGAGGATCAAAGTTGTCGATATAGTCCGTAAGTGTAGCAAGCTGAAGTGGCAGTAGGCTGGCCACATCTGTCGTAGAACCGACGAGCGCTGGAGCAGACGGGTTCTCCAATGGAGACCACGTCTCGGAAAACGTAGTGTCGGACGTCCCCCTGCCAGGTGGACCGACGACCTCAGAAAGGTCGCTGGAATCGCTGGAATTTTATTCAGATGTGTTAAATTTGTTGACCTCAGACAATTCATTTGTTTGAGAAATATAACTTCGTATGCTCCGCCATTTTCGGGTTCATCGCAATGAATATCTTGTGCAATTTACCGTATTACCTGTAATTTTTTCTTTTTTCTAGCACTTTGATTAGCTATTTGTAGTTCAATAAAGCTAACTATGAATTATTCTATAGTTTCATGTATATACAGTACATATGCCAATAAGTGTCTCTGTTATGTTATACACTTACTTCTCTTTCTTCTAGTCCCGGTCTATGATTACAATCTACAAAGGAATACAGTAAAAAAAACTCACGCATACTTTTATTTCTTCTTTGGTGTTATAAACGTTATGTAATATTAACAGTTTACTTTATTGTATTAATTTACTCCTATAAAGATTAACAATGAAAGAAAACAGTAGGCTTTTTAAATGATAAAATCGAGTTTAAATCGGATATCCTTAGGTTGTCACTGTATTTTTAAAATAATTGTCAGTAACAGAGTAGTCATGATACAATACATTTCCAGATACGCCCAACCAGCAAACGATAAAAGGCGACAATGTAAACAACATGCAGCGGCAATCTTACTGCCCACCCCAGGAATATCAGGGCATTCGGCACGTGCCCCAGGGCTGTGGACTGTATGATGACGGGCCTCCGCCCCACTGGGAAGCCCCGGTATACGAACCGGCTGGGGAATATTCTCGCTTGTGAGTCCCTCCCAGATCTTGATTAGGTTCCTTAAACGCCTCCCTCGATCCCCCTTCCTCCGTTTCTTCACTTTTAATATTTATCTTCCGAATTATTTGTGAAACATGATCATATGACTCGTTACTTTTAAGGTATCTTCTTTTTTTCTAATTCTTTTCGCTTCTAGTGCCTCCTTACTTATCCTTACCTGAATCCTTTACCGTTCCTTGGCTGCGTAGCGGTGTACTTGGTTTCTTATAGGTGTCGAATAATCGAACGCTTGTCGCAAAGGTAAAGAGTACGTAAACGAGCTTCAAATGCATACACTATTCGTTGTAATATACGGCAACGTCTTTATTACTTGCGCTCGCTTTGTGACAAGCCCTAAGTTAGACGCTAAGAGGGCATTATAAGACTCAGTTTTGTTTTTATATTGTTTTAACTCATGAAATGTGTAAAGTAAATAGACATTTGCTCCTTTAGATGTTTGTCTATTTGAATAGGCAGTATCCTTCCTGTCAGTACTTTTATACGGCATCGGATATTTAACCTTCGCACGGCAAAGATACTGTCTATGCAAAAGCGGTTTAACGTTATTGTTTTAGTCTTGAATTATTGTTTTTATAGCTGTAGGTAAGTGTATTTTGTTAGCTTAAAGAAGCCAAGGTGAATGCTAGACTGCTGTCGCTGCCATCCCATCCCTTTTTGTTTCCCCCGCGCCAGGGCTGCCTAGTTTATTTGACATATGATTTTTAGGTGCCTGCGTGATTACAGAGTCCTTTATTAATGTTGTTTACATTGTCGCCAGGTATGCGAGTTTTAATATTTTTTTCTTATATTTATATAATGTCTCAAAGTAGACAGACTGGGTATGAATGAACTTAGATACAATTTCGATTGTCTTTTTTCGCTACCGTCTGCTTTCGGTGGTGACTGTTAATTTGATAGAACTGTAGATAAAACCTTTAGTCTTTAATCCGTTCCAGTTTTTCAGTTTAATATGAAGAAGTAAAATCTATTCAAAACGTTGAGGCTGGTAGAAAATCATAAAATCCACGAATTAATTATCTCGCCATTTCTGTGTACATACCTATACTGAGATATTTTTTTTCTAGTGCGACGTTAGTTGTCCTAGGTTTTAATTTTATTTAAAAATCTTCATGTGTACTGTTCATTAAATTTTTATATATACACCTTAATGTGAATTCAATTATTTATAGTTTACTAACAAAACACTTCACAAATCCAGTACACATGAAGGCATCATGTGGTAGTATGTTATATATACATATATATGTTCTAGCAGCATGATTGTTGTCTGTAGATGATTCAGCCAGGACATAAAGAAATAATGCAGAAACTCTTAACCCGAACAATACAGATTGTTTGACTGAAACGCGACCACTTCCCCCCAACAAGAATTACGGTATTTTTTTTCGCAATATCTTTATAAAAAGATATTGCGAAAAATGACATAGTTTTTATACGTAACACTATCTGTAATATACTCAGAATGCGATTACTGTAGAGAGCGTTATCCCATTTTCACTTTACTAATTTGTTGCGTTCCTTTTGTTGCAGCGGCCCAGATTCCTCAGAGAGGCAGTAAGTTAAATTTGCCCCTAATTAATTTTACTCTTTGTTGCAGATAATGCTTTTAAGTTTTGTTACATATAAAGAAATTAAATATACAGCGTAACTCTCACACGTTGCTTACTTAGTCATTCGTAATGAATGAATGAATTCGTAATGAATGAATTTTAAGTCGCTTTTTTATGTAATATAAGTCGCTTTTTTATGTAATATATAATTTGTGTGTCAATATAGACTATTTATAATGCTGTTTAGAGAAAATTTAAATTTTTGGCTAACAGAGATTAAAAGTTATTAATACAAAGAATTTAATGAAGTTCCCATTATTATCGCAATGATTATTACAAGTAATAATCACCTGATTATATAAATTTGTTTTTTTTTGTCCAACTATTAGCCCAAATTAAAAACCATTAAGTTAAGACATTATTAAATATTCTTTGCTATTAACCTTTGTATTCCCAGTGCTGGCAGACTTTGTATTTATATGGACCTGAATTATATTACTCAACTTATTTCCTAACATTAAAAGTAAAACAAAAAAATTATAGAAATTCTAAATTATTTATCAGAATCTATCACAGTTAAGTGTACGTAAAATTTTTGTTTCGTTTAATTTTCATCAGTTTCTGTTCGGATATCTATTAGAGTTTGAACACTTACTGAATTTCGTCAGATTTCATGAAAAAGTTCAGTTGTCATAACTTTGTTCACCAGATCTATGAGCTAATTAGTCACCACGACATTCCAGGTTGCAAGCGCAAGGAGGACCTGGGTTCGGATACCATGCCTTCCCCGAAGAAGCCCCGTTTGGTTTTTACAGACCTCCAGCGGCGTACACTACAGGCTATTTTTAAGGTATATCGCCCTCTTATTTTGTAATACGCTAACAGTTTATTTTTTCAAAATTCCCTCTTAAACGCCCTTTGTAATACGCTAACAGTGTACTTTTTCAATTTCTATCACACATGAATCAAAGACAAATAAAGAATCGTATTAAGGACGAGGAATTATCAAAATCTTTTATGAGAATCAATAATCGAGGTATATGAACATTCTGATGTAAAAAAGATCAATACTTTACAATCTTCCTTATATCAAGAAAACGTATTGTTTTAAAAATAATTTAAGTTCCCAATCAATTTGAAAGATATAGATCAAAACTGTTTTGTGAATACTAATTTGAAATTTAATTGAAAATTTTGTAGCAATCTTATGTAATAGTGTCTGAAAACTCCATTTCATAGAAGATTTATGGTGCTCAACATATTGAGAGATATCTGTTTATCTAATTGAAGCAACTTAGATTCCCGTCGAATTTAAGTGTTTTGAAACGATCCGTGCAAATATTGCACATATTGTTTGATTGCCTTGGCCCGGTTCTGTCGGGTGCTTATATAACCATAACTGTTTTATCGTATTCTTCGTCATGGTTGTTTTCTTGTTGGAGAGCTTGCATTTTGAAATATATAGATTTTTGCTCCGCATCATTCTACAGTATATAATATTTTTGAGAAAACCTTAGATACATTTTTTGAAACTGTGTGAAGAAAACATGTGTTTTTCTGCGTGTTTGTATAGGTAAAATACGTATTTATTTATAAAAGAAAAGTTTGTGTATGTAATTGTGGTAAAGCTATCCAGCTTCGGCTGTTGCACGAATGGGCAGGTCCTTTCGGGTGAGTACCCAGACCTCACAGAAGATATACGTGAAGTGAATGTGTTCCACATCTGCGTTTCGTCTGGTAGCCGGGTCCCACTTTATTTAATTTTTTCTTTTTTGTTGAGTGTTTAGTGAAGATATCGGTATTGTATTCTACATATCCTTCCCTCTTCATTTGCATGTCCCTATCCCACCTAGACGGTGTTGGTATAATACGTGAATCAAGTTATTAATGCTTTTGTAGGTTTTTTACAACTGGCTGCCTACCTGACGTCAACCCTCTTTGTGAATAACCACCCAGATCCGGAAAAGTAATCTGTGGATCACACAAACATTTTTCCCATTTGGGAACATAACCCGTGACACATGGCTCCAAATTCAAAAGCCTAGCATTGCCGCACCTATGGTCTTTCTTGTATATAAAAGTAAAATAACATTTAAAAGTTTGAATTCAGCAACTTGAAAATTTCAATCGAATTTTCTAGGAGACGAAGAGGCCCTCGAAAGAAATGCAAGTAACGATAGCGCGGCAGCTCGGCCTTGAGCCGACGACGGTTGGAAACTTCTTCATGAACGCGCGACGGCGGTCGATGGACAAGTGGAAGGATGACGACGCTCCCACCACCGAATTGGACGCGCAGTGCGAGGGCCACGAATTGGACCACGTCCCGAGCCTGGACTCCGCCGAGTCAGAGGAAGACCACGACGACCACGATGACCACCTCTTGTGACGCCGTATCCCTCAGCACCATCTGCTGGTGCTTTGAAGCCCGATTCAAAGCTATTGGAGTTGCTGAGAGCGCCGATTTTGAATGCTCGACGGCCGGAGTCGTTTGACCTGATTCTAGAGATTCCTATTATCTGTGTCTTTGGTGAAACAATATTCGGAATTGTTACATTTAAACAGTCTGATCGGTATTATCGGTTGGGCTTTTGTTTTATTTTTCTTTTTTTTTTGGGGATTTTATTTATCTCTGAATAATTTACAGCATTTCGTGAGTAGTGTGTCAAAATTAAATAGAAGCATTCGAAAATCTTCAAAGCAACTCCAAGCAGATGGTGTTGAAAAGCATAATGAACTTTTGTGCGACGGTATAGCAAATGTTAGTTGGATACCATTACTGACGTATTGATCTCTCATTATATAAACGTTTCTAGTCAAACGTAATCGATTAGGTATAAATTAAGTTGTTCTTTGGTATATTTAGTGTTACGTGTACGTTTATTTAAGTGTGTTTTGGAAATGCCTGGTTACATCTATTACGTAGCACCATCGAGTATTATAATATTATCTAGTCCACGTTTTCAGATCGGTTTGTATGTATAAATAGCGTTTTCTCGAATTATACAATGAACGTACCAAAGTATATATACTGCGTAGTTAGTAATATTTCGTACACATTTTTTATGTTTTAACAGAAAACACTTTTTCTGAGATTTATTGATCGCAGTTTTTTTATGATTTTATAAGAAATTTAAAACATATATGTATGTATAAGCACTTGAAATAAAATACAAAGCAGTAGTATTATAAATGGTGCGCACCAAACCAAACACTCAATCAGTGTGGTAGTGACTACGTTATTATTGCTAGTTGAGTCTTGTATTTATCACAGATAAGATAGAAAAAAAATGTTGCAACAAGGCTTTCTCATTAAGTGCAAGTAATCCAAAAGAATAATATAAGCTGTATAATATTTTAAAATCAAATACTGTAATTACAAGGGCATTAAGGTTTTGTTAACGTATTTAAGTAAAAAAAAGAAGAGAAAGAGCAAAGAAATGTAATATTTTGTTAGAAAGGAACTCCATACATTATCCTTAATAAAAATATTTTAGCAAATTGTAGAAATGTTCTCGAATAACAAAATGACCCTTTGTTATTACACATTCATATTTTGGTATATAATTTATTAAAATGTTTATTCGTTTTAATAAATTTATTTCACTTACATCAAGTACGTGTGAATCAATGAACAATAGTTGTATTCAGGCATATTCAAGTTTCATAGATGATAGAAACTGCAATAAGAGGACAAAAGTTGTTAATTTCTTATTGAAAAATTATGTAATTTAACTAAAGGATGGTTGGTTAGCGAATATGTTCGATGAAATCGGACTACTGGGAAGAAATATCTATAATTTAGTAGAATTCAAAAGAAAAACTTAAATCGTAGCAATCTACAAAATTATGAGTGATGCAAAGAAACTGAATGATCAAGAAACATTATATTTCTTTCTTTCTAAAAGCTATTCAACAGTAACCATTGTGTTATTATAAAACATGTAACGTCAACCATGCTAAACTCAATACAGTCAGAAAATGCTTCAAAGATTCATGTGGATGGCCGTTAGTTGTGTCTAGTCATGAGATCTCAAAACATTCCAAAAAGTAAATTGTCAGTACGATACTACGAGTGGGAGAGCAAAATCGTGCGTGATATTACTTAATTTAGAATAACTAGATATATGACGATTACTTAAAATGGCTTCAATGAATGTAAGCGTATGCGGGATGGTCTAGTCCGAGTTATGCAAATTAGTATATTTATTAATAACAATATCAGTAAAATAAATGCTTAATTAATATAAATTAGGACGCAAGTGGCAACGTTTGCAATCATACTCGAACCACTATTGTTTGAAGTTTTGTCTCTGTGTCAAAACACATCGTAGTCTATTCGTAATTTGCAAAAACACGCGAAAAATGACAAATAGAATCAAGCGCCTTCTACTCCCGTCTGAAATATTTATGCACTGTATAGTTATTAAAAATATTATAAACATTCCAAATGATTTTTCCCATTTTTATAGAGAATATTTATTTTATTAGATTATAAACGGCCAGTCTTGTTTGTTTTAGTTTAAGTTTTTGCCGTTTTATTTTATTTTATTTAGATTAATTATTTATTATAGAATACGAGCTAGTCTTTGAATGCATTCTTGTTTATGTGACATTTATGCTATTTAACTTATGTAACTGCTATTCATATTAGCCAAAGATCTTTAACATTTTCTTACCAAAGATTTAAATGAGTGCAATTTTTTCTTGTATATTTAATTTCTCCTGTTTAAAAATGACAATCGAAGAATCTTGCTGTTATGTTTCATTTGCGCCGAATTTAACTGTGGCTGAATGGTTTTGAATTAAAATAAATTTCGCACAAAATGAAGCATGTACATGAAAAGTATTAAAAGGAATCTTTCCGTACTGTCCACGATTTGAAAATATATGGATGTCTCTAAATATGTATATGTATATATGCCAGACACTCAATTTTCTATGTTTCGCGGTTGGTATGATAGAAATGAAATATTTTTGTGCATGTATAGTGCGCTTATTTCTCTGACTGTACATAGTACTTAATATGTATGTAAGAATAAATGTAAATTTTATAAAGAGTGTCACATTCTTTTGTCTAACTTATAATATATAACTCGCATAATAGTATGTGTACCCCATAATATTTACCACCTCAAAAACTGCAGATTTGTTATAACTTTTTTCTAATGTAGTAGTTAAGCATAACTCCTTTTACTTTATTGAATTTAAGCTGAGGTTATGGTTCAACATCCTCACAAATATGTGAATGCAATTTTAGTAACTTAATCTTGCCTGTAAGGTACGAGGGGCACACTGAAATGATCGGGAATAGAATATTTCGGATTGAGTTACAATAAAACCTTTTTTAGAATTTGAATACTGGTCTCTTAGAATCTCAATGACATTAAAAAAATAAAAAAATGTTTGTTTGAAGTTGACACGTCGTTAACAGAAATGTAGCTCACGCGTGAACATTTCCGTGCCATAATTTATCACAATTTTCGTCGCGGCTTGGCGTATCTTAAGATAAATGTCTCAGCGAACTTGTTTCAATTTATGATGTTGAATCACCGAGTCAAAAGACAATATACCGCCGGTATGCCGAGATCCGAGGCGGTCGTGTGTCGCTTAGCACTGTTTCTTCTGCAGGTCGACCTAGCACGACCGAGAACAGCGGTCACGCCTGAAAACATCGCAGCTGTGCGAACTATTACATTAGATGACCGACATGTCACATACGAGTAGATTCGGGCAGTTACCACTATGGGAATGACTGCAATTCATTCGATATTACATAAAGAGCTGTGTGTAAGAAAGCTAGTTTCCCGCTGGGTTCCCCACAATTTGTCCGAAGAGCAAAAGGCGGCTCGTGTAGATTGGTGCCGGAATACTCTGCAACGCTTCAACGGAGGGAAGTCAAATGCCGTTTATAATATCGTCTCAGGCGACGTATCATGGATTTATTCATACGAACCTGAAAGAAAACATCAGTCAGCAGTTCGAAGACGAGGTCAAACCAACGAAAGTGGTTTGCTCCCGCAGCGTGTCAAAGAAAATGGTCGCTACGTATGTCTCAAAAAAGGGGCCACAATTCCTTTACAGGAACGCAGAACGGTTACCGCTGAGTGGGTATATCACGGTTTGTTTGCCAGAAATGATAGCCGAACTCCGAAAAAAAACCCGAAACGTCGCAACATCTTGCATCACGATAATGCGAGCTCCCATACGGCTCGGAAGAAAAATTATTTTTTTAAGCAAGAAAACGTTGAGCTGATGAGCCATCGTCCGTACAGTCCTGACCTGCGCCCAAACGATTTCCTTACATTCCCTAGAATGAAAGATTTATTACGCGATCAACGGTTTGAAGACCCCGAAGCAGCTGTGGAAGCGTGCAAATCAGCCATTTTGGAAACATCAACTTCAGACCGGAATTACTGTTTTATTCATTGTTTTGCACTAATGGAAAAGTGCATTAAGTTGAACGGAGAATACTTCGAAAAATAATAAAATACAATTTAGCTATACCGTGCATGTGGTTTTTCTTACTCCCGATCATTTCAGTGTGCCCCTCCGTACGTGTGATAGCAATGGTTCTCAGTATAGTTGTTGAAGTGAAGAAATTTACTGACTTCCATTAATCTTATTTTTATATATTTCTTTGTTAGATGACTATATTAAGTTTTACCCTTTCCTTTGCAATATGAAGTCTCAGCGTTAATGCCAAAAATGTTCTATCATGTAAAGTATCTGTCCATACCGTATAGACCACATCAACTAAAGCTCATTTTTATATTAACATTTTAATGCAGTCGGAAGAAAAATATGTTAGTGGTGGTAAGCCATTCCCGTTTCTTCTTTCTCCTGCCCTTATATATCACTAGGTGGGGTTGGGACAACATGTCCCTTTTTTTTTCTACTATGGCTCCACTGATGCGTCAGTGATTTTGCCAATAACTCAGTACTTTGTGATCAACTTGATATTGTTAGGACCATGACAATATATAATAATTTATTTCAACTTAAGCGTACTTGTAAACAAAAGTACAACACAACATTAGTAACATGCACATTAATAATGGAAGACAACACTCAAGTATATAAATACTAAAAACAGCATACAAATAAAAATATTTTTCTTTTTTTAACAGTCCCGGCTTAAAGACATATATTGTTAATCTCTATAAATTTAACTAGTTTTAATAATGGGATTATAAACAAGAGTTAATAGACAGGTAACATTCACAGAACGAGCAACATTGGATGGAAGTAAATCATATAAAGAGACTGTTAACAAAGGACAAGTGTGTACCCTCATCTAGCCCACATTCACACAAGGAACAACATGTCCCTTCCACTTTCCTTTATCAGCCGTCATCACAATTCTCACCCCTTTCACAGAAATAT